ACAATCAAAAGGAATTTTATAAAGGACACAATTTAAGAAGGTTTCAAGATATACGGTGCAGGAAATGTGTAATGGGTAAAGGTGCAGTAAGCCAGCCCTGATTCTAGGTTCTTTTACTTGAACGTGTAAGTAGGGAGTGCACCATTCTCTAAAGTGGGTCTTTTCCCAAAGGCACTATTGACAGATAAAAAGCAGACTATTAATGGTCTGTGTGTAAGCGGCAGAACTGGCATTGCAGCAACACTAAAGAGTGTTATAAAAACTAATGTTTAAGTTCATGAATGACCTGAGGCTTAGTGTGTGCTGCACTGGCAATAAATAGGCTGTATTTATTCTTCAAGAAACACTGCTATTCCTTTTTTCCTTCAAGGAATTCTGGAATGTCAGCCCACTGGGTGGGACAGCCTCCGGTTAAAGTTTCTCACTTATAAACTTAGCTGGAGACCAAGTTTCAAGACCAAAGCTAAGAACGTAATAGTACAAGCAATGCAGGGAAAAGGAGAATGATAGTCTCTTACACAGGTGGAACTGTCATGAAGCCATTACCAGGCAGATGGCTGAGGTGACAAAAATTCTCTATTACTAAAAAGCTAAGGCCATGCTAAGATGTCCTGACTTACTCAGACAGAAACAGAACAAACAACCCAATTGGATAAGTAGAACTGTTTTCTAATGGTATGTACTTACATATTTGACATTCTTTTTAGCCTTTTTTTTTTTTTTTTTTTTTTTGCGGTAGGCGGGCCTCTCACTGCTGTGGCCTCTCCCGTTGTGGAGCACAGGCTCCCGCGTGCAGGCTCAGCGGCCATGGCTCACGGGCCTAGCCGCTCCGCGGCATGTGGGATCTTCCCAGACCAGGGCACGAACCCGTGTCCCCTGCATCGGCAGGCGGACTCTCAACCACTGCGCCACCAGGGAAGCCCTAGCCCTATTTTTAAAGCTCAAAACCAGGGTGCAGCAAATATGGTGAGAACAGTAGCGGCTGGTCTCCCTTCTCTCCGTTCCTGCCTGCTTAGACCTCAGACCATGGGCTGGTCGCTGACCCTCATCCTTCCTCCAGGCCAGGTTCCAGCGAAGCTGAGGGGCCAGTCACACTTGCCCTGTAAACTCTGACAGCAGAATATGAAGTGTAGCTACCCACACTACCTCTTGTGACTCCAAGAGGGAGAGGCTCTACTCGCAAATGAGAGAACACAAACACTGCTTCTACAAGCTGGCGTCAGCACTCATGGTGCTGAATGCAATTCAACATTTATTGAGCACTCTTTCTGTACCAGGCCCTGTGCTAGGTTAAAGATAACACCCCCTCCCCCGCCCCCCTATTTCAGATCATGGTGATAAGTGCAATGAAGAAGATAATGCTGAAAGACACAGTCCCCAACAAATAGATATTCATGAATGAGAAGAAATGCCATAAGAAAATGTGCAAACATTTTTTTTTTTTTTTTAAAACCTTTATGTTCCTTTCTCTTCCACGTTTTTTTTTTTCGCGGGCCTCTCACTGTTGTGGCCCTCCCGTTGCGGAGCACAGGTTCCGGACGCGCAGGCCCAGCGGCCATGGCTCACGGGCCCAGCCGCTCCGCGGCATGTGGGATCTTCCCGGACCGGGGCACGAACCCGCGTCCCCTACATCGGCAGGAGGACTCTCAACCACTGCGCCACCAGGGAAACCCTGTGCAAACATTTTTAATCCCCAAACTTCCATATTTCTCTGAACCCAGGCCTTCCCCCATGAAAGGGTTAATAAGGCAGATAATTGCTAAATTCCTTTCCAATTCAAAAATTCTATGATGCTGGGCTTTAACAAGAACATTTTCTACTGAACTTGACCAATCCCGTTAAGTAGTTCAATAGTTTGGGCTTTAATATAACTAAATACTATTAAAATTTCAGTAAGGTAGAAACACCATAAAGAGAGAGAAAAAAAACAACAGATTATGTGCAGCACAGAGTTCTTATAAAACCAAAAGAAACACTAACACTCACTGAAAAATAAGAAATGTAAATTCCCAATGCAATTATCAAAAAATATTAGATCTTTTGCATGCACTAGATTCTAAGTTTCTGACACATAATAGGTGCTTGATAAATATTTGTTGAACAAATGAATTCAATCTAACCAAAATCAAGGGGCCAATTAAAACATTCAAATCTCCAGTGTGCAAGGTTTAAAGTAATGATATTACCTACTTGTGATAAAGACATAGTGATAGTGGAATAAAGACTGTATTACTTTCCTGGGAGGCAGTTGAGTGCCTACCTTTTGCTTAACAAAAGATTGAAATCCATTTCATTATCTAGTAATTATTCAAAGAAATATTAGACAAATGCCCAACAATGTATGTATTGAAAAACCAGCATGTAGCAAGAATGTGAGAATACAACAGGGGCACTTGTGTGTTTAAGAATGAAAAACAGGAAACAACTCTAGGTAACCAATAACAGGTAATTGGTTAAAAGAGATACAGTGTATCGGTTCAATTAAATACTGAGGTATAAAAGCAAGGAACACATACAGTTACCATATGACACAGCAATTCCACTCCAAGGTATATACCCAAGAGAAGTGAAAACATATGTCCACATAAAAACGTGTACACAAATGTTCATAGCACCATTATTCATAATAGCAAATGTTCACTAGCTGATGAATAAACAAAATGTGGTATATCAACACAATGGAATATTACTCAGCCATAACAAGGGATGATGTACTGATACATGCTACAACATGGATGAACCTTAAAAGCATTACACTAAGTGAAAGAAGCCAGTCACAAAAGGCCAGATATTGTATGATTCCATTTATATAAAATATCCAGAATAGGTAAATCCAGAGACAGAAAGTGGACTCCTGGTTGCTTAGGGCTGCGTGGCGGAGCTAACAGGGAGTGACTGCTGAGGGGTATGGGCTTCTTTTGGGGAAGATGAAAGTGTTCTGGAATCAGATAATGGTGAGAGTTGCACAAGTCTGTGAATATACTAGTAAGCAATGAATTATACACTTTAAAAGGGTGAATTTTCCCAGTGCCATTTTTTTTTTTTTTACAGAAATAGAAAAATCCATCTTAACATTAATACGGAATCTCAAGGGACCCCAAGTAGCCAAAACAGTCTTGAAAAAGAAGAACAAAAGTTGGAGATCTCACACTTCCTGATTTCAAAATTTACTATGAAGCTACAGTAATCAAAAGAGTGTGGTACTGACATAAAGACAGAGATATAGGCCAATGCAATAGAATAGAAAGCCCATAAATAAATTCCTTTGTACATGATCAGATGATCTTTGACAAGAGTGCCAAGACCATTCAGTGGGGGAAAGGACGGTCTTTTCAACAAATGGTGTTGGGAAAACTGGATATACACATGCAAAAGAATGAAGTTGGATCTTTAGCTTATACCATATTACAAAAATTAAAACCAATTAAAGACCTAAATATAAAATCCCAATCCATGAAAATCCTAGAAGAAAACAGGATCCAATCTATCCAAAACAATCCAATTCATAACATCAGATTTGGCAATGATTTCTTAGTGTGACACCAACAGCACAGGCAACAAAACCAAAAATACACAAGTGGGAGTAGATCAAACTTAAAAACTTCTGTTCATTAAAGGTTACTATCAACAGAGTGAAAAGGTGACACATGGAATGGGAGAAAGTATTTGAAAATTATATATCTGATAAGGGGTTAGTTAATATCTAGAACATATAAAGAACTCCTACAACTCAACAGAAAAACAGATGACCTGATTTTAAAGAGGGCAAAAGATCTGAATAGACATTTCTCCAAAGATGATATACAAATGGCCAACAAGCACATGAAAAGATGCTCAACATCACTAATGATTACAGAAATGCAAATCAAAACCACAGGTGAACATACTCAATGTCTTGTAATACTACAATGGAAAAGAATCTGAAAAAAAATATTTAAGTATATATACACACATATATATTTATATGTATAACTGAATCATTTTGCTGTGCACTTGAAACTAACATAACATTGTAAATTAACTATACTTCAATTAAAAAAAAAACACAGTGAGATCACTTTGCACCACTAGAATAGCTACTATCAAAAGAACAGAAATTAACAAGTGTTGGTGAAGATGTGGAGAAATAGGAACACTTGTGCGCTGTTGGTGGGAATGTGAAATGTTGCAGTCAGTATGGAGGTTCCTTAAAAATTAAAAATAGAACTACCATATGATCCAACAATCCTATTTCTGGATATATGCCCAAAAGCACTAAAAGCAGGGTCTTGAAGAGATATTTCCACATTCACATACTCATCATTATTCACAATAGCCAAGAGATGGAAGCAACCCAATGTCCACTGATGAATGGATAAATAAAATGTGGAATATCTATAAAATGGAATATTATTCAGTCTTAAAACTGAAAGAAACCCTGTCACATGCTACAACATGAATGAACCTTGAGGACATTGTTAAATGATATAAGCCAGTCACAAAGACAAATACTGTATGATTCCATTTATATGAGATATTCAAAGTAGTCAAATTCATCGAGACAGAAATAGAATGGTGGTTAGCAGGCCTGGGGGAATGGGGAGTTGTTGTTTAACGGGTTTAAGTTTCAGCTTTGTAAGACAAAAAAGTTCTGGAGATCTGTTGCACAACAATGTGAATATGTGTACCACTACAGAACTGTACACTTAAAGTGGTTAGAAAAAGGATGGATTTTATGATATGTGAGTTACATCTCAAAAAAAAGTTATATGAAAAACTTTTAAAGTGAGTTATAAATATGAAAAAATTTTAAAGTGAGTTATAAAACAGTAAAATAAAAATATGTATATAGAACAGAAATAATGTAAGAATCTACTGAAAATGTTAGTAGTTGGATTACACATGACAAACCTATATTCTTCTTCACTTTCAGACTTCTCCTCTGGTGAAAACATATTACGTTGATATGTAAAAAACAAGCCACTTTCTCTGTTGAGGGGTAAAAACAAGAAAGGTGATACCTGGGCTGGAGTGTTTGTAGTCACAGGAGATGGCGATTCACTAACTTTTGGCTCACTTGGGGACGCGGCTGACCCCTGCGACTCCTGGCTGGCTGGCTGGTCTGGAGACAAAGCATCACTGCTGTCTTCGTCAAATGAGAAATCGCCCTGAGTTTGGGGATAGTCCTCCTTCCCAACACCTAAAGAAAGAAATGATTTTTAATTTATCTTGGCCTTGGAATACCAAGGTTAAAATGAAAAAGGAGAAATATTATTCATTATAAGGACTTAAGAAGCTGGTTAAAAACAAAATTGAACATAATGTACTTCCCCATGGGAGAAGACACCACTATCTAAGATGAATACTTGGGGAAAAAAACCCAACCTGAATCAGATCAAGTCTTTGGATCCAAATACTAGTTATAGGAAGTACAGGAGACAAGAAAGTTTTTCATGACACCTAGGGATGCAAATGCATTTAGAAAAATCTAGTAATGTGGAAATGCTAGAGGATAAAAGCCTGTTCATCAACAAATAAAAAGTAAGGAAAGAAAAGAGGAGGAAGACCCACCCAGGAGATTGACTTAAGAGATACATCAGCTAAAGAGGCAATGTGTGGACCTTGTTTGGATCCAACTTGGATCCAACATTTGGAATTCAACTGTTAAAAAACATTATAAGGCAAAATGGGGCTCTGACTGGGTATCTGTTGATAAGTCCCACTTCACAGAGCAGCCCTGCTGTACTGACATCTTACCTTTTGGGGCCCATTTCTTCGGAATTGAATGGAATCATAGTGAATTGTACTACTAAGAATTACTGACTACAGACTACCTAAGATTTAAATTCATACTAATGCAAAATATGAAGTCCCCATGATTAATGGAAACTATAATAGTTTTTTAAGTAGGAATATTAACTTTTCAAAATTGCTTGCTGAAAAAGTGGCATTATTCTGGAAAACAATTTTTTTCTGCTGAAGTTTATGCCAGAAAAACATGGTAAACATTAGTAACTAAGTATGGTAAGACTGGGATAAAATGGGCAGATTCTACCATTCTTAATGAATACATCTATACGCATCTGCTATTCACCTTGCTGAACTAAGACTGAACAAACTATTTTTACCTTTCCTAGAAGTAAACTGAACTAAAATAATGAAAAATCTGTAAAAATCTTAAAACAACAGAAACTAAACATAATACAATAAGTTTAACTTAGAAAACATGGTAACAAAATCAGAACTTAAAGACTTAAACATTGTAAAGCAACTATACCCTAATTAAAAAAAAAAAAGACAGGCTTAAACCTCAGATGTAACAAGAGGAATCTCTGTGATAAGAGATGGTTGTCTTGTAATACATAATAACACTAACAGTAATAATGGGAATCAGTGCAAATGTTAATCAATTTCTAATTTACCCAGAAAACAATAGTCATGATTAGTGCTGGCTTTTTAAATTAAATTTTTCTTATTTAAAACTGATTTTTCTTATTTAAAACCTCCAAGTTTCTTTTTCTCCCAGAAAACAGTAAAATTTTAGAGTCTTGCCTATAATTGCTTCCTTAACACTGGAGTCTACAGGAAGGATGTTTTTCTCTACCAGCTCCATAGGACCAGGTCTTTGAGCAATCTTTTCATTCAGATCATCAGCTAGTCGAGCTCTTTTCAACTTCATCTGAGTAGCCTGCAGGGATGGCTCTGCAAATGTTTCTAAAACAGGAAACACAGTTTCAACCATTACTTGAATTACTATTTCTATTCCATAATGTTATTTCAGGCCAACTAATTTAAACTGGTATAAACAGACTTACGTGTTCCTAACATATTTATGGAGAGACAATGACTGTTTAAGAATGCTCCTGTATACAATTTACATTTTTAGTCCTAGATAGCTTTATACCGTCTATACAGTATGGATGTCCTCAGACTCAAATTAATATGAACTCAAGCCAAAAATGGGGTCCTGCTATTGCTCATTTATGGTAGGAGAGTCAAATTCATATTTATTAGGCATTGGGGATACAGAGGATGAACAAGAGAGATGTGGTTCATGGCTCAAGAAGTTCGCAGTTTTAGATTTGGCTTCATTGGAAAGTCAGTTCGTAGAAGGGGAGAAACTGTTATCTCAGGATATAAGCTTCTCTGCAGGAGTCAGTGGGGAGAGCTACAATTCACATCCTTCGATCAATCCATGTGCATCTCAGAGTCCTTCATCATAATTAAGAATTTGGGTTTATTCTGAATACATAACCTTGGGACATTCAATTACATAGTAATTAATAGTCATATAGAAGCATCAACTCATCTACCCACATATGCATAAAGTTGTATAACAGGTGTGATACTATATCGTAACTCATTCATTTGCATAATTCTGTCAGTTACTTGTGTTTCTGGTAACTCTCATTATTTTATTACATTGTTCTAAATAATGTTTATGATTGATTAAAGATAATGATGAGGGGTTAACCCAATACTGAGTTGAAAGTCGCTTACCCCTTAAATTATTCAGTATAAGGTCTTTTAATGAAATTCCCTGTAAGTAACGTCAGGATTATCTGGTGTTCTTCATTCTGTAGGTTAGATGGCCTGGCTGAGGCCCAAAGAGCACTGAGACCCCAAGGGCCAATAAACTACCCTCCAGCACAGCTGATCACTTGTCTTACTACTGGTTAAGTTATGTGCTTACCAAGTATCAATCTTGATTGTCTACAAAATAGCTCATCACTATTGTGACTGCTATTGTCAATACATAATTTAACCAGATGTTATGGGGAAATCATAAACTTCAAAAATAAAATGATTATTTCTTGGAAACCTGAGTTAAATGCTTTGGAATGACTTGATAAAGGTAAGCCATTAAAAAAAAAATCACTGTCACATTACTTAGGGCAACTAACAACGGTAAAAGATTTGGGGAAAAATGATAAAATCTAGGATTTTTAAACTCAGATTGCTTTTCAAGTGTCTTTTGAGTTCTGTTCCACCATGAATGGAAGTTGTAGATGATGTACAATGGCTATGCTTTATACAAGAAAGATGTGAGCTCCATTCGTGAAAGCCTTCCCCGCACGTGAAGGTCCTACCCCTAAGTTGGAATACTGGCAGATAAATTCATGTTTCTGTAAGTTAAAATAACACGTATGCCCATCTCATTTTTATAATTTTCCTGTATAAACAACTCTGGCCCCGATCTTATTAGACAGAACCCTTCTAGCCACACAGCAAGATGATAGGTGGGGGGAAGTAGACCGTGCAAACCACTTTTAGGTTGATGTTTAAAAGCTTTTATTAAGATCTAGGCAGGAGAGTCTTCTGCCTTTTCCTCTCTTCCACTGACATTATCCAAGTGATATTAGGAATGTTTGGGAAGAAAATATTCCAAAAGTAAATAATTAGAGGCTGGCATTTTGGTATGCTTCTGTTCCTGGTCTGATTGCTTCATCATCTCCTTGAGGCCGAGGCTGGGTTTCAGCTGCTGAACTTCAGGAAATAATTTAGACTTTTGCCTGCCAAACATCCAATTCAATCAAAATTGGGATAATGTTATAATAAGTTGGGGGTGGTTTTAAGGTATTTTTGAAATTATAGATGAGACATTCTTTCTTACTTCAAAAGTCTCTACTTTAGAAGAGATGTCCTAAAAACATCACTTATGGTTCATTCATATACATAGTTAGGTTTTTAAATGCTGAGTAGTCTCTTTTTGGAAAAAGCAGATATGATTCCTTTTGATAGTTAAATGTATTTGCCTTAGTTTTAATTATATTAATAAAGTCTGTTACAGTTAGAAGGCAAGTTGAAACAGACAGCATCATTCCTACAAAAATGTTCCTTATAGGTCAAGATATTTTGAGGCACAGAAGGAGCCATTTACCAAGTTACTTACCAGCAAATTTGCTTCTCTGAAGATTCACTTATCCCTGACAGCTGGTAGCTGCTCCTACCCTACCACTGGAGTTCTGGAAAAGCTTTTTTAGTCCAGGAGACTTCTGAGACGTTCACAACCCAAAGTAGAGACAGGAACAGACCTCTCACCTCCCATCCCAGACATGAAGATGGTTACATAATCATAGATTATTTGGATAAGAAGAGACACTACTTGGGGTTATAGAGGCCAACTTGATAGTTGGAACTTCTTTACAACATCCTTAATGTGGTTTCAGCCTGTGTTTATTCCCTATCACAGCAGCCTGTTTATTCCCTATAGAGCACTTTTCACAATCTGTAATTTATTTGTTTTGCCTATGTATTATCTGTCTGTGCCACTAGAATGTAAGCTCCATGAAGGTGGGCATCCATCTGGCTCACTTGGGTCTCTGGTGTCTAGCTTGCAGGCCAGTGTACTAACAGCTCTAATAATGGCAACCGTATCACTTCTTGAAGATTTTATTTTGGACATATCTGACTGACCTTTATGCTGAGCTATAATCTAATACTCTGTCATATCAACCTAATTCTAATACTAACTCTATCATTAGGCCAGAGAACACAAATCTAATCTTCCTCCTACCTAATAACTGTCTCTAAATGTTTGAGAAGTTTCTGCTTCTGCTCAGGGTTTAACACTCTCAAGACTATCACAGGGTCAAAGCTCCTTAGTCCACAAATTAGTCAGTAAAGCAAAACAATGAAAGAAAATGTAACTCAGGAGTTTAATGGTGGAGATACCAGATTTCGAGAATGCTCTGTTTTTAGAGAGAAAAACATCACGGCCTGAGCCACATGTCTCACCAAAGATGGAGTGGAACTGTCCTTACTAGCTTCCTAAGAGATGAGGCTCAGTCATCGAGAAAATCTGGTGGGTCAGGTGGAGCTAGTTTGTGATAATGGTCAGATCGAGCTGGACTGTTGTGGGTTAAGTAGCAACAAAGAGAAAATGTCAGGTATGGGCCTTGCCCCAGGTAGACCTAACAGGGTCCAAGTCGTTGAAAATCTAGGGTTAGACCTGTGGCTGTCATACCCCTTATGACTTAATGAGCAGGTGCACATCCCTCACTGATGAAGAAATCCTCTGGACCGAAAATGTTTTTCCAGAACACTATGGTAGAGATACCTATAGCACCCCCAGCTGGCGGGCAAGAGTCAGTCCATCAATTGGCTATTTGGAGAGTCAAACCTTCCCCATGTATCTAACATAACATTTTTAGCTTTGGGTCTTCATGTTGCTATCCAGTTTGGAGGATGTCAGCCTGTGGGGTAAAAAGTTATTAAAATGGGAATAAACAGAAATGGTGGAATTCTCACTTCTTTTCTTGAGAAAATGTAGCAAAAGCAGCAGAAATAGAATTTTTACCTTCTAAAATGTGCATCCTGACAAGTTCAGAACGATCTGGTCGGCTCCGAATCTTGTGCTTCAAAAAGTTTTCGGTCTTTAAAAAAGAGAGAGAGAGAAAAATTCTTACCATAAATTGTTTACGATTTATTGTAGTTTTACATTTTTTTCTCAAGGTACTCTATTTAAATAAATTGTATACTCTTTTGATCATGATTTTGAGAGGAAGAGTAGAAATTAGTACTTTGAAAAACTATTATCCAATACATGATTTAAATTGCAGCCTTCAAAGTTGTACAGGGATTTGAAGTGTATGCTGGTATAAAGTAAGCACTTTATAAACTTTTATTTTAAAACTTGGAAAAGGCAAAGGCTCATAATTTTGAAGATGACTTTTGAACAGGGGATTTGAACATTTAAATATCTAAAATCAATAAAATCTACACTTCAGGTCAAGTAAAAATCCATCTAAGATAACACATTTCCTAAAAATCCTAATGTATTTTCTGTGATGAATTCCTATCTTTAATCATACTTTCTTATTCAGAACTGTACTCAATTCTAAACAATAAGGCTTTAAAATGGGTTTTGTATTTTATAAGACTCTAAGAGATCATTATTGCATCCTGGGAAAATTCTTAAGGAATTTTTGGAACATGCTTATTTTCATATTGCATGATAGATGTTTCCTCTAAAACAAAAAGAATAATGGCACTTTTAAAGAAAAATAATAAACACCAATTTAGTGTGCAACTATGATGGAGTCATTTCAAGGAATAAAACAGAGCTGAATATGGCAATATTCCTCATTCAGCCAAATTCTCCCACCCTTGGTCAAATGTACTGCTAACATAGACCCAGGAGGGAAACGAAGGAAGGATCCGGTGTCAGTACATCACTTGGGCTATCTGTCTGCAGAGGTAGTAACAAATGGCAGAATTACTCCATCATTATTCTAAAAACTGTTGTTATGCTCCAAAAGTAAGAAAAAAGTGTGATTTGTCCTTTATGTACAACACTAGTTTACTAGTTTTAAAAGAACAAAATTTGAATGTCCTGTATTTTCTATAAACCTCCAAGATAAAACTACCCCAGGATATATTACTCTACATGCCATGTTATCCTGAAAATACACTATATTTTCTCTATTGATATACGTAGGAGTAAGACTGTTACTTGTCCACAGGTACTTTAATACAAAAGAGAGAAGCAGAATATTTTAAACTGAAATTCCTTACTCTGGCTCGTTCCAAGCTTTTTATCTGCTCGTGGAATGCCGCTGGGCTCTTCAGGGCTGTGAGAAAAAGAAATCATTTCCACGGTATAAATAGAGGAGTTAATACTTCAGTCAAATGTTACAGCGTATCATGGTGATGTTTTCTCTTAATCTGATTAGTGTGCCTCTACAGTTCCATTTATTTCCTAGTTCCTTTAGGAGATCTGCAAAATTGAAACCTTAAATGTTTCAGAATTAAAATTATGTGTTTTACAAATAAAACAAGTTAACATTCACAACAGAGTTGTATACATAATGGCAATGCATATATCAGGTCAGACTAGTTCCAGCCCATAGTTGGGGCAAATTACCATTACCAAGGGAACTGTGTGATGGTTCCTTAACAGGTCTTTGCTCTTATGGCCCTACAAGTTACTGGGAAAAGCCCACAGGTCCTCAGGGCATTTAACGTTGGAGTGATCTAGCCTTGAACTTGAGGACACTCTGCAGTTCATGTCTAAGAGATCAGAGTTACCACCTACTGAGAACCCACAACACACTTAGCCCCGTGCTCTGTGGCCCATCACAATTATATTGCTGCTCATCATCACAACAGCCTTGTGACATAGGTATTAGCCCCAGCAGAGATGAAAGGCTCAAAGAGCTTAAATGAATTCTTGAAGTTATACAGCTAGATGGTGGTCAAAGCGGGATTTACATCTAGAATTCTGAATTTGGCAGGTTCATGCTCTTTCTACCATACCACAATGCAACTCACTCTAAAGACACAGTGATTCCTTAATATGTTAACTTCTAGTACATTATTCCAAAGTCCCAGAGACAGAGAGAGGCAGTGTTTATTAAAACATCACATACTACAGAATTTCTATCAATTATCTTTGCAAAATCTTCTGTGTGTATGTCCCCTGCTGTCTGATTACACCCTACACTTATCGCTATGGGCAGTCAGAGAATGTGGATGGAATGCAGGACTAGGCTTAACCTGGGCTATCACCTCCCAATATTGGCCAATCAGCTCTTGGTAACATTCTTTTCAATTCTGGTACTTAAAGCATTGCAAAGACTCACAGAAGCCCACCCAAACAGGTTTGGCCAGGGACCAGCTCCTAAAAGCAGACTACAGCTGGCTTCACAGTGGTATTTAAAGCACCACACTTTGATCCTGTTTGATTGATTCATATCAGGAATGCAGTGGTGGAGAAATCTGGCAGATTATCAAACCAGCTTCTGATAACTGGTTTTATCACAATGCTAGATTTAAAATATGTAGATACTCAATTAATAGTAGTTCAGAAAAAAAAGTGTTCACAGGGAAAAACATCTCCTTATCACAGAGAAAAATCGTTCCTTATCACAAACCAAAAAAAGGCAATAGCAGTGACTGTGAAGACTGGGAAGCATAAGTACATTTTGTAATTTCTTTCTAGTTTTTTAAGCCAAATAAGTTACTTCTTAGATAAATCAATTTTTAGACAAAAATCCCAAAATAATGCTAACAGCCTATACAAAACCACCACTCTTCTCCTCTAAAATATAAAATCACCTCCAAATTTGGTGATTAAAGGTAAAGAAGACAACTTGGACAAATATTCTAAAATTAATAGACTCTCAAAAATGAAGGAATGAAGCCTAGAGCTACTTGGGAAAATATCTGTACTTGGGCAAGAAAGATTTTATTAATTATAAATAGAATGCTTATTAGTCCTGTAATTGAGATACATAATTATACAGACTATACTATAGCATCAAAGATAATTAATTTGAATTAAAGTAGAACCAGGTTTTGAATTAACTTATCATGTTACTTTTGCCAGTACCATTGGATTCATTATCTAGAGTGATTATTTCAGTTATTTTAAAGCTAAAAGTAATGCTGAAGTTTGAAGTAAGAACTGATGTTAGCCTAATTACAGAGCTTTAAAGGTATTCTTTGATAATATAAAATTCGTGTCTATCTTTTAAGTTGCATCTGGTTTCCAAAATGTATTTTAAATGATTCTGTTAGGTTAGCAATGCTGATGCCTGGTTTTTCCTTATAAATTGTATATGCATTAAATGGATACCACTGAAAGTAGAGTGTGGAACAGCTTCTTCTTAGACATGCCCATTTTGTTACATCACATTAGAAACGACAGTGACACTTCAGTCTTACGTGGCATGATGCCCTGGTCCACTAGTTGTTCTCTTGTCCTCCTTTGTTGCAGCCTCAGCTGGAGCACTGTGAAAAGGAAATAATCACCATTGGAGTTAACAGGCAAACTGTAGGGTCCAACTTACAAAGTTCCAGAGGAGATACAATTAAGCTTACTTAAAAAGCTTATATTTCATAAACGAATAAGGATACTACCTGGTACCATTCAACCTGTCCAAAAAAAAAAAAAAAAAAATCAGTTTGTGATTTCTGCCTTTTGGGTGAACTCTGAAGTTCTCTCAGCTTATCTTTTGTTTAGTCAGTTAATAATCTTAAGTTGATGATTAAAGCTAAGTCTTTGTTGTTTAAATACAATCACATCGTACTCAGCAAATAAACAAAAATAGTTGGCTTATATATTCTTATTAATAAAAAATAGAAATGTGAGATACCTTGACATTCCTTAGTTTTTTTTAAAAAACAAGTTAATAGCAAAAATGTATTTTAAGGAAAGATTAATGTATTTGGAGGAACTCACTCCATATGGAAAATTTTTGTTTGTTTGTTTTTTGCGGCACGTGGGCCTCCCACTGCTGTGGCCTCTCGTGTTGCGGAGCACAGGCTCCGGACGCGCAGGCCCGGCGGCCATGGCTCACGGGACCAGCCGCTCCGCGGCATGTGGGATCTTCCCGGACCGGGGCACGAACCCGCGTCCCCTGCATCGGCAGGCGGACTCTCAACCACTGCGCCACCAGGGAAGCCCCTGGAACAAATTTTAAATAGCTTTAATGAAGGCCAACTTCATAAAAAAAATTAGACCTATGAGATATTACTAATTACGCAAAGGAAAATTTCTGAATTAAGACTTTGAAGTTTAATAATCTTTGCGAAACATAACACTGCATCTCACTCCAGAAGTTCTAAGAAAGCCACAAATCAATTGGTACCTAATTATTTTAATTAAAAGAGTAAATAAATCATTAAACTTGTAGAAAACAAGGTATACATCACAAAATGTGGGAATCCCGCTTACCAAATTTAATAAAATATATTTTTTCCCCTAGATTTCTCAAGCAGATTCCTTTCATAGCATCTCTATGTTTTTGTCTGGAAAGTGAGCTGATTTCAAAAAAGAGTAATATATGAAGTAACTTTGAAAAATATTTTCCTTGGTTTGCCTTACGTTCAATTTTAAGTTTCCATTTTTAATTTTTCTTTCAAACCATGGATGAAAACCAAGGTTAGGATTATTAAGGGTCCGCCTAAGAGTTGTCAATATGAAAAAATAAATTAGCTATATGTATTTCTTAAATGGTAGGGAAGGAAGACAATTTTTTAGCAAGGGCGTGATGAGGCTGGCTTGGACCAGGCTCAAATGCAAGGCACGTAACGGCTCCTACTTGCAATTAACCCCAAGACCTGAAGATGCAGGGCCTGTGGCCCGCATATCCTTTGCTTTTTGCTTGCCCTTGTGCTGACTGCAGAGCAGAGCCCAATCTTAGATATATTTTATATTTTCATATTCATTGCTAGATATGAATGTTATCCTTTACTTAATACTGAAAAAAATTTTTATATGCTTCTTTTGGGGGCCACAAAGCTTCACTGACATCCCATTTAGAACTGAAGCAATTGACATAAGATTCTATTACACACAGCAAAAGAAAAACTTAAGAGTCAAAAAAATATATGCACGTTTCTCACATTAAAATGTTTTGCAGTTCTCTGAATCAATTATGCTCTAACACAAAGATCTTTTCCCTGATAACTTATAGTTTATTGAGAATAGTATGTTCCCACTGTACTTTACTAGGAACAAAAATAACCAAGGAGATGACCTGTGGATCTGATAGCACCCAAATGCCTGCATACTCCGACATTCTTCTACGAATGCCGAAGTTAATTCTTGTCTGAAATCAAGGTGGTCATATTCGAGAGGCAGAATACCAAGAAAAGGAATACTGAGAGGAGAAAAGGGTCAGAACAATCTCTAGTTCAAAGGCTGACACTTCTGGAACACGGTGGTCCACGTCTGTTGCAGAATCTCTAGCAGTAGTATTTTTCCTTTCTCCCACAGGAGTCTTCAAAGAAAGGAGTAAAATAGAAAGGGTAATGAAAATATCATCAGCCCCTCTTTTGGTTTAAGACAAACAAAGCACCATACTAGTGAGACAAATGTGTCAAACACAGCACATATTCCTAGGCGAATGGCATCTTGGAATGAGAGATACATTCGCAACAACATGGTGACAACCGCTTGTTAGTCTTGAAGCATCTCCTGACTGTATGCTGGTCAGCTGCCCTCATGCGCCTTCACAGCAGTCCTGTCAGCTGTATTATCTTTCACCAGAAATTGCATTTTCATGCTGTTGTGCGAAGGTATCTGTTGCCATGAGGGTAATACGCCAAATGAATGCATGTCACCAACCACCAATTGTTAAAATAAAACAAAACCATTGTGTTTTCCATCCATTTTTCTTCACGACAAAACAATCAATCCTGTTTATTTCATACTGCTCGAAGGTAGGAGAATAATCTTCCCAATCAATGCTCTCATTACCTGTTAATTTTCCCAAGTAGCAATATCCTCACACTACAAATATTACTCAAAGCAGGTGTGGCAGGCAGCCTTCCCCAGGCATGTTCATTCATTAAGAGCCTATTTATTAGGTGTCTGTTAGTGACTGCAGGGTGCATGCATGGGAAAGAACAGCAGCAGCTGTGAATAGAAGGTCTGTTTTTAGGCAAAGACATTAGCAAGAACATGAATGGAAGAGGAGGCAAATAACCAGCCATGTTGTTAAGACTGCAGATTACCCAGCTTGATTTAGTTTTCATCTATACCAAAAGGTGGGCAGCACGGGACACATTATGTTGAATATAAGGCACTATGCCCTATCGAGAGACTTGGGTACATTGCCACTTTTGGTCAATGTTAAAACACAATTATAGTATTCATTCATATCAAATACAACCAATCACTCGCAACCTGATGGAGGCTCTTCTGAGTACTAATGATTATAAAAAGTACCTATCAGATAGGTACAGGCTCATAATTTTGGACAATAGCAAACTTCCTTTTACTCTTTTCCACTCATCAAATGAGTGGAAAAAAAGAAAGTTAACACAATAAATGACAAGCAATACCTGTCCCTTAAAGGCAGACCACCCAGGCCAGGAAGGACAAGGCTTGAATGATGTAGACAGCTGAACTGTCCTGCAACACTAGAAAGCTAGAGCTGCCCAGAGGTGGGCAGAGCTTATCCAGACCGTGAAGGGGGAAGAGACCCTGAATAGAGAGGGCCTGACTCTTAACGATCATAGAGGCGTTCACCATTGCGGGCATGTGAGCATCTAAAGATGCTTTATCAAGTTAACCTTGGAGACCATCTTCCTCCCTTTGCAGCCTCCAAACTCACGTCTGTGTGGAGGGCAGGACGGCCCAGATCACTGAATGCTACTGGGCCTGTTGCACAGTTGCAGTTCTTAAGACCAATGGATAACCCGGTAGGCTGGCTGATCCCTGGAAACCTGACATACTCTGCACACGTTCACGAGACTGCACTCCTGTAGCCACAAACAGAAGACCAGATGCTGGTCCAGCACTGCTTTCCTGTGGCATCAGCGGGTGGTGGTGGTGTATGGCTGCCTAAGAAGCCAACCTCGGGGCAATGGCCTTGTGTCTGAAAACAGACCTGAGAGCATTCGCCCCCGGTGCCTTGCTGAATTGATAAATTGTGCTACTGGGCTGACATCATAGCTTCCAACACATTAGGAAACTGACTAAAATTCAGCAACTCCATGGCCATCTTACAAATAATTACATGCCAGAAAAGAAAATATGTAAATCTACAGAATTCTGGAAGGAAAAAAAAAAGAGTTCAAAACACTCAGTGAGTGAGCAGCTACATCCTTTCAGAAAACAAAGGACACAGTAATAAATGGCGCTGAAATAGAATTCATGTTACGACTGCTCACATTTGAACATTTTCAAAGAATGTCTTTATCTTTGAAACATGTAGAAATGAAAATAATCTGATACATGGACCTAAGAAGTTCTTACGTTTAAAATGGGTGGGGTTAAACCTGTTTCGTTTTCTCAAAAAGGTGTGTGTGTGGGGGGGGTGTGTGGCACACAGGTGTTAACAGCGTATCTCATTATACAGCTAGCACTGTATTCTCTGTGCAAAAACCGTTACCACAGGCTGAGAAGTCTATAACAGCTCTGTGTTTCCCGATGACAAAACTCACAAGAGGTACACAAAGGACCTCCATTAACAGAAGGAGATGAGGTTACAGAGCCATTTGCTTACCCTTTGTGTCACATCTTTCTTAACTAGCCTGAGTCCAAGGTTTTTATTTTTTATTAAAAAGAAAATAAATCTCTTTACCTATTAAAAGAGTGATACATGTTCATTACAGAAAATAAGGAAATTTTAAAAAGGAGGAGGAAGAAACCAAAAAAGAAAATCACCAATAATATCAACCAGAGCGATATACAACTACTGTTACCATACTGGTGTATTCCTCTGTCTCTTAGCTAAGCATAATTTTTTTTTTTTTAAAGAAGATGTTGGGGGTAGGAGTTTATTAATTAATTAATTTATTTTTGCTGTGTTGGGTCTTTGTTCATCGCGGTGCGCGGGCCTCTCACTATCGTGGCCTCTCTTGTTGCGGAGCACAGGCTCCAGACGTGCAGGCTCAGTAGTTGTGGCTCACGGGCCTAGTTGCTCCGCGGCATGTGGGATCCTCCCAGACCAGGGCTCGAACCCGTGTCCCCTGCATTAGCAGGCAGATTCTCAACAACTGCACCACCAGGGAAGCCCAGCTAAGCATAATTTTTGATTCTCTGCTTCTACATACTATGATCACACTGTACAATGATAAATGTTCTTGTTATTTCAATGGCTACATAAAATACTCTGTTGGGTGGACATGCATAGTTTACTAAATATACCCCTATTATTTATCACTTAGGTTGTTTCCAATTTTTCCAACTACTATAACTAATGCTACGGTGGGTTTTTTGTGTATAAAGTTTATTCCTTATTTTTAGTTATTTCCTTAATTCCTAAAAGGAGGATTCC